TGTGTGTGTGTGTGTGTGTGTGTGTGTGTGTGTGTGTGTGTGTGTGTGTGTGTGTGTGTGTGGGGGGGGGGGGGGGTCCCCTAGTTAAAAGTTTGGGAAATCTTCCTCCTGTCTGTGCTCATCATGATCATCATCCTCCTCCTCATCATGCCCCCTCCCTGTCCTCCACCATCTCTACCTTCACGCGCTGTTTTCCCAGATTTATTCACGTGCAGCTCGCGCCCGCCTCACTCAGACATGCTGCCGCCAGCTCTGTGACGTCACATGCAACAGCAGTCTCCACCGCTTCAAGCGTAACCCTCCGCGAGTCCTCAAGAGAAACTAGTCCCCGTTATCACGGCCGCCGTGAACTTGAAAAGCTCAAACTAAAAAGTGTCATTTATGGTTAGAGATTAATTAAATCCCGTATTCTCATGAAGTGTTTGGATTGTTCTGAAACTTTGGGATTACGGTGCAAATGCATTGCTTCTCTGATGGCTGATCTTCTTTATCAACTGTCTTTTTAAGTTAACATTAGTCGTTTCACACCGGATGTTGGAAAATAACCATGCATGAAACCTTGTTTGTAATATGGTTGTATTTTGCAGTTTTTCTCAGGCTTCTTATCACATCACAATCAAATAAACTGAAAGGAAGGCCAAGTGCAAGAGTTTGCTGCAAACAAAGCACCTACTTGAAATCTAAAAATAAAAGAGAACTGATGTAATCATGGTTAGAAATGTCTATGTTTTGTTAAGATCAAATGTACAACAGAAGATGTGTGAATTTAAGGGGTTTGTCTCATGTAAGCCAATCATTTTGCAGGTTTTTGGCCAATTTGATAATAAATATTCTTTTACCATGTACCTAAAAGGAACACGCAGCTTATTCATCCATCTAATGAGGAAAAAATGCGTTTCCTTCTGTCAATCTCCGCTAAATTAACCAGAAACATATTGTTTCTTAGTTACATAATCCACGTTGTCCCTGCTGTGAATGAAGATGGTCCAAGTGGGAAGAAAGTAGATCCTCTCGCTGCATCCCGCGGCGTGATACTGTCGCTGAGGGGAGGGTGAGGCGGCCTGCCGACACTCTGACGCCAAGCCGGGCTGAGGCGGTGGGTCGGCTCAGGAGGGGCAGCAGACAGAGCCACGGCAGGGCGGCAGGGACAGAAAAAAAGGTAGGAGAAAACTTCTTCTTATTGGCACCAAAACATGTACGGAGGGTTTGTTTTTGTACACCTGTCCCAGGTTGACTGTGCGCGGCTTGGTTTGTGAGAAAATAGATCCAAACGGTCAGCAGCTCTCAGCTGTGTGTCAAACTTTTCTTCTTCCTTTTTCACTCCGACACACTGAACTATTTCTACTCCAGGCTGTTAAAAGCAACATCTGAGGCGTTTAACGTTTCAAGGGAAGGATTTATTGAAGATTTATCCTACTCTCTGTTTATTTTAAAGTATTATTTTCAAAAATGAAGCGTAAAGCTTTTAAAAGTAATGCAACAGACCCCTTTGGTTTTGTAAAAATACTCATAATAGGGAATAAATGCCTGTTAAAGCACGTAAAGTTTCCCTTTGTCTGTTGTAAAATGGGAATTTGTCTCAATAACTTCCAAAAATCAAATTCCTGTCTCCACATTGATTGTTAGAGAGGTGAAAATGATCATCTTTAATGATCATTCCAATATAAATCAGTTTGGGGAGCTAGAACTCCTAATGTTTTCAGTGATGAGTGGCTGATGTCAGCCATAAATGTGTGACTGGCTGGAGAAGATGCTACTAACCCTGAATGACATCTCTGAATTTCAGAATATCTGCAAATAAATCAGACAGAAGCCTCGAATAGGATCAAATGTGTACGAAACACCAGAGAGATTATTAATCCTCCTTCTGCTAAATTAATCAATCATTTTCATTATTATAGTTCTCAAAAAACACATAAAACAAGCAGCTTCAGACTAATAAGCTGTTAAATGTTTATTGCTGTGAATATTATTGCCCCTTCCTCAGATAAAACCAGAGAATAGTTTATTAGTCAGTCAGACCCGCCTGCAGCTCATCAGCTTTTGTTTTGAAACAGAATGAAACCAAATAGATGCATCCTCAGACTTTTATGCCCTGACCATTTGACTGAGAATATTATTGTAACAGCTGAAGCTGTCTGCAGAGTAGCCTTCTTTCAGCCAGCTCACTGGCAGGTTGCAGCAACAGGTGGGGGAGGGGCAGAACCGGAGCTACTATAGGCGTCATAAAAAGAAAACACTTTTGCAGTTTTTTCCGCACTCAAGAAAATCAATCTGTTGGTGTCGGTAGATAAAAATACATGGGGAAATATGCTTCAAATTTCATATTTCCTATTTTTGTTTGTGATCTAATCAATCGGCCCAATTCCCCACAGATGTTTCTAAAAGCTTAGAAACCCTCCACACAGAATAAGGATGAACTTTGTTTCGGAAACAATTTCATCTAGATCACTGAAATAATGAATTTCAAAGCCAAAAGATGTGGCGGTGCGGCCATGTTTGAGGATTGGGCGGCTTATTCATATCTGTCGTCATCTTTATCAATAATATTTTGTACATCCAGATCCCCTAAGACTCTTCAGGGACTGTAAATCATTGCATATATTCTGTGGCGTAGCTGTATCTGGATCTCTTTGGAAGAGGACAAAGGAGAAGCAAGGGAGCGACAGACCTTCAGCAGCTGAGACTGATCTGCTGACATTATTGAGGATGACATATCAGATTACCCAAAGGACAGGAATTTGTCCTTGTTCATGCTACAGATCCAGCTGTATTGTTGCTCTGCTTTCTCCAGCATTTTCAGAGCTTTTTTGAGGCCAATTTGTGGCTCAGATTAGCACCTTTGTTGTGCTTTAACATCCTTTACTCATCCTGTCTGTGCTTCGTCTGTCCGTGGTAGCACCCTATAGAAAACCTGCAGTGTGCAAACAGCACCCAGCTGCAGCCCTTCTTGCCTGTCTGCATGGTGAGGATACAGTAGCCTGGATATCACGGGGTGAGGTGTCCTCTCTAACATAACACTGAGTGCCGAGCGTGTTTGACACGGCAGCCTGAAGAACCCGTGTGTTTGCTGGTAATGTCTGCTGCGGTTCTGCCGACAGCTGTGTCTGGGATGTAAAGAATCTGATTCCTGTGATTTACCTCCGAAACTCAGAAGTTCTGTTTGCTGCTGCCCTCCGTTTATTTCATCTTCACCGCCCCTGGATCTGTGTTTGCGTTCATGTCTGTCAGGAAGGATGACCCCGATGGCTAAAACAAGCCTCCTGGGTCAGCGCCGTGTCTGGCCGGGGACGCCGACACCTCCCGTCTGTCTGTGGTTATTTCCAAGCTCTGTGACTGTTGTATTGACTGGAGCAGCTATGGCTGGAATCTGCATCTGCTGCTGGATGTAGGCTGGTGACCAAACTTACAGTTCAGATTCCACGCAGGAAACAAGTGTGATATTTCCTCATACCCAGGAAAAGATCACACTTGATGGCATTTTCCAATCCATGACGATGGAGAAAAAAAGGGAAAACAATAGCGTATTATTCTCTTAATGTGTAAATAATCCAGAAATACAAATTTAAAAGTAGCAGGGAAATATTCAAACAACTATCAGGGCTCAAAATATTGTCATTAACATGGATATTGGGCATTGTTGTCCATTTTAAAATATCTGTCCCGTATGATAAACTGGCCGATATTAACTGCTGTTTATTTCTATCCATTTCTGTTTTTATTTCAGGAAGGGGAGGGGTAGACTGGTCTGAAGTGTTTGTCTGGTCATGTGCCGTAGCAAAGGATAGGATTGTGGGTGTTTAACTGAAGTAGAGAAGTGCTGTGGTTGGTTTTATGATGTATACAGGATACAATATCTGGAAACATCAGGTAATATCGTAGCCTAGTAAACTAAGCCCCACCCACCAGCGGCCAAAATCATTTTTGCCTGCAAGTTTGGAAGCGTTTAAGAATCCAGTCATTTTTTCTGCCTTCCCGTATGGATGCTTTGTTTCTAATAATTTGGCATCTCCTCTTTTAAACTGAGGCAGCTGGTTATAGTCATGAATAGAGAGAGTGATGCATGTTTTTGGCCAGATAGTCATTTTTTCCCCCCCTGTCATCCTTTAATGCGTGCAGCGCTCTCTGATCCATCAGTGCATTCAGCAGCTATAAGATCATCTGAAGCTCTGGCATTGCTGCTCCTCCTGCTTCCATCCATTGTCAGTGCTTGGTTGGATTTGTTAATAAAGGTTTCTTTATGTTTAAATTGAAACCTCTGTGAGATCTGTTATCTTTGTGACATATTTATCAAGTGAAGGAAAGGAATATAACATCAGTTTTAAGAACCTGCTGCTTAAAAACCAGCAGCACATGTCGATGATCAGTTACCCTGGAGTCCAAATAATCACCGTCTGCCTCAAAAAAAACCTGCGTCGATCATCTTCTGGACTTAGAGGATAAATGATAAACATTAGAGCTGAAATGATTAATCAGATGAATGCATTATCTGATTAATCATCAACTAATTTGTTAATTGAATCGTTAGCTCAACTAACAGAATCTAAAACAGGACATTTGATGAACATTTTTTTTTTTCTATACTCGGACTACTTATTTAGAAATTTTAACTTTTAAAATGTATTTCCTTTTAGATTAATAAAAAAAAAAACAATAATCAACAGGTGCAGTCCTAATATAACCTGATTTATTTGTTTTACCTGAAACGGCAAAGCAGCCAATATTCCTGAAGGATAAATGCTATTACATTGACAGCAGTGTATTCTGTCACACCTGTTTATCACTTAGAATTAACATAAAACACTTGGCAGTAGAGTTCAAGTCTTATCGTAAATATTATTCCACCTTTTTTAACATCTCAGCTGTGTGTGATACAGATAAAACCCTCAGCTGGTTGATCAGCCTGGCAGTTAGACGTCCAGCTTTGGCTAACGACCTACACTAGTAACAGTGTTAATAAGATAAAGCAGAGGGTTTCTACTCCACCTTCACAGGTTTGCAGGCTGCATATATTCCCTCACAGTAGAACCCAGAGGTAAAGCAAGGTGGCTTTCTTTCATCCAGCTGACCAGCAGTGAAGAGCAGCAGGTGGGATCTGTGCAGTGCTGAGTCGTTCTACCCACGGCCCTTTCTCTGTACGGCTTTTAGGACAGAAAAAAAAGGAAAGTCTGGAAGGTTTATCGACTCTCAGTTGCCCGTTTAAAGCTCAGTAAATTGATTTAGTTAAAATGACGACATTCAGAGATGCTGTTCTTTTCCTGAATAAAACAAAAGGAATGAACAGAACCTGAAGCTAGCACCTCCCACTGACTGCTTGGTTCTGTTAAACATCTCCAGCGCAGAGTCGTGATCATCTGAAAGAGCCCCCCCGCCCCGTCTCTTCATCGTTCCTCCTCTTCACCCCTCAGCCTCTCCAGCTTCCTGCTCTTCTCTGTTTATAGCTGCTGACTCCATTGAGCGGGGGTTAATGGAGGCCCCATCTAGGACCCTGCTGATAAATAATGTAGCTCCTTCATAATGCCCCCTCCCTGGGGAGGGTCCAGAGAGCATCATTACTGCCGGCTCATCCCACACAGAGCAGCCTTAAATTGATTAACCGACACTGGAGCGGTGCAAAGTGATCCATGTGGCTAGCAGAGCGGCTAACATCTCGCACCAGGTGGGTCAGAGCCCCCGCCTGCTGGTGTCGCATGATCCCACTATGTGCTCCCATTACCACCAGTCTCTGTCCAGTGGGCTAAATGATGACCCTAACCTAATATGGTGGGGGTGAATGATGGTGAGTGTGGTTGCATGTAGGAAGGTTCCTAGATTAAAAAAATATCTAAACTGAAATGAGTAAAAATATTTCTGAAGAAGTGAATCTTTAATAAGCAGCCACTGATTTGGTAAAAGTTCCCTTTTTCCTGAAAGATTAACTGATTAACAGCAGCTACAAAAAAAACTACAGAGTATAAACATTTTCCATTAAAGATGAATGTAAAATTACACGTCTGTGCCCATTATCCGTTATTTA